GAGATAGACCTGAAAATACAGAATATGTTAGTACGTTGTTGCATATCCTCATTGTATGGATGTGCCTTTTCACTTCCATAGCTACCTGCAGAATCTTTGGCTTAGGTTTCTCCAAATGTGTTCTAACTCTAGCATTCCTCTGATCTAGTTCATATTACACATATTATAGTTTCCAGAATAATCTTCATTAAATGTATTGTTTATCATGTCATTCTTCTGTCCAAGAACCTTTGGTGTCTATATCGCTGCTTGCCTTAGCCAGTTTCAATTCCATTGCCTCTGGATCAAGATTCTGCTTGTTGGCCAGGCGGTGGCTCACGCCTGTAATCCTAGCACTTTGGGAGGCCGAGGTGGGCGGATTGCTCAAGGTCAGGAGTTCGAAACCAGCCTGAGCAAGACCCGTCTCTACCAAAAATAGAAAGAAATTAATTGACCACTAAAAATATATATACAAAAAAAAATTAGCCGGGCATGGTGGCGCATGCCTGTAGTCCCAGCTACTCGGGAGGCTGAGGCAGAAGGATCGCTGAGCCCGGAGATTGAGGTTGCTGTGAGCCAGGGTGACCCACGCACTCACTCTAGCCTGGGCAACAAAGTGAGACTCTGTCTCAAAAAAAAAAAAAAAAAAAAGTTCTGCTTGTTGCTGTCTGTATATGGCTTTCATCTTGTGGGGGTGGGGGAGAGAGAGAGAGAGAGATTTATTTTTTAAGGAATTGGCTCATGCAGTGCGGGGGTTGGCAAGTCCATAGGGCAAACTGGCAGGCTCTCTGGCTGGGTGGAAACCCAGGCAGGTTTTCTATGTTTTAGTCTTGAGGCTGAATTCCTTTTTGCTTGGAAAGCTCAATCTTTTCTCTGAAGGCCTTAAATAGATTGGATGAGGCCCACTCTTTTAAAGGGTAATCTGCTTTACTCAAAATTTACTGATTTAAATGTTAATCACATCTAAAAAATGCCTTCACAGCAGTATCTAGACTTGTGTTTGGCTAAATAACTAGGGACCATAGTCTGGCCAAGTAGACATGTAATGAACCCTTATGCTACCCTTCCTATCTGTTTTATCCCAGCTGATCTGTCTTTTGCCTGGCATGCCTAGCACTTCTACCTGTTGGTTTTACTAATTTTATTTGACACAATTAGACTCAGAACCATCAGAATGTGTTTTGGCTCATCTTTGAATTCCCACTCCCTTGACTTACTGTGTAAGGAATGAATTTTGACCTCTTACTGATAGGGATACCTTTGATGTGCTTTTGACTTTTATTTCTTCTGTCAGTCTTATCTAATTTAGAAGTCAGCGGAGCAGTTATGTCAGGGTTAGGAGGAGTTGGCATCTCCCCTTCTTCTTACCTTTGCCATTGCCCTTTAATGCTTATATGTTTGTACAGGGTGAGGAGGGTCTTTAAGATTGTTTTTTTAATTGTCTCTTTTCCTGCTCTACTATCTCTGAGGTTATTAATATATTATACTTGAATCCAAGAAACCATAGCATGTTGCTTCTCACTTATTGGGAACTTCCAGCTCATTCTTTTATCTTCCATTTATAGCAGCTTGAGTTTCTCAGTCTAGTCCCTGTGCTTTCTCCTAGCTGTCTATTTCTAATATGTGCTGAGAGTTTGAGATAATTGGGCAAACTATTATCTTTATTCTCTTTCAGACTCCTACAGACTTTTGTATCTTCTTTTTTTTTTTGAGACAGAGTCTTGCTTTGTTGCCCAGGCTAGAGTGAGTGCCGTGGCATCAGCCTAGCTCACAGCAACCTCAAACTCCTGGGCTCGAGCGATCCTTCTGCCTCAGCCTCCCGAGTAGCTGGGACTACAGGCATGTGCCACCATGCCCGGCTAATTTTTTATATATATATCAGTTGGCCAATTGATTTCTTTCTATTTATAGTAGAGACAAGGTCTCGCTCTTGCTCAGGCTGGTTTCGAACTCCTGACCTCGAGCAATCCGCCCACCTCGGCCTCCCAGAGAGCTAGGATTACAGGCGTGAGCCACCGCGCCCGGCCTATACTTGTTTTTTAATTGTTTAGTATGTGTAATTTTTGCCCCATCCACAAGCTTCTTCAGGTCTGTATTGCTCTTATATCTTCCACAGAGCCAGCATCATTGCAAATAATTCAGTAAATTCACATACTATGTCCAATATAGTATGTACCTTGATTTTAGTCAAGTTGTAATAAACTATTAGGAAACTGGTTGTTTTTACATATCTTAAAATGTTTGAAATATTTTTTGATTTTCACAGGGCAAACGCAGAAAATGAATCTTTTCCAGTCAATAACAAGTGCCTTGGATAACTCATTGGCCAAAGATCCTACTGCAGGTAAACTTCATTTGTGCTTGACTTGTGGTAACTGTGTTAATTCTAAAATTGAAGGTTTGCTTGAAGTATTTATGTGGAACACAATGGTTAACATTATATCTATCTGGGATTTTTAAAAGACCTGATTGAATAATTAAGCCTTAATAATCAAATTACAGTATTATTAATACATTTTAAATTCACTTATTACTAATTAGCTCTCATGTATATCTAATATCATTAAGTTAATTTTCTCTCATATATGGTCCTGATATATTAATGTCTTCTGGATTAATACCTACTGTGTTACTCCTGTTTCTTTGGCATATAGGAAAAATGAAATACTACTTTGTTCAGCTAGCTATTTATCAAATGAGACTGACTTCATACTTTCCCTTGGGATATATTGTCATTCAACTTGTAAGATTTTTTTGGAAATAATTTTAATATAATATTTATAATTTTATAAGTAAAAATATTTATCTTATTAAATTATTGATATAAAAACAGTTGGACTTCCACTGTATGTTTTCTAAGTTTTATTGCCTTTACTTCATATACAGATGCACATATCCTTGTGTAGGTGAGCCAGAAATCACCTCCAGCCCTCCTTTTAGTTCTTAGTGAGCTCTTCAGCTGGATCTAGAAACCATATGGACACCAGGCAGGTGAACTATGGAAAAGCATACACATTTATTAGTTTTGCATGTACATGGGGATCTTCACAAGATAATAAAGTCCAAAGAAGTGGCACAAGCAAGTTGCTTTTGTACTTTTTAGACAAAGCATAAATTTAAGAAGAAATGATGGGACAAAGAAAATCTGACTAGGGGCAGTAAATTTTCTCAGAGAATCACTAGGATAAATATGAGAGGTGTAAAACAGATGGAAGATAAGGGTTACTTTGTTCAGTATGTTTATTCAGGTCCATTGGAACCTCCAATTTTAAGTCTCTGGTGATGTCTCAGCTACTTTCTCTGGTGTGGAGAGAGTATCCCTCCCAGAGGGGTCTTTATCGCTTGCTACATGTAGGAAGCAATAGGTCAGCTCACCCTTTCTGAACCTGCAATTTCTCCAATGTTTTTGACTTGAAATAATCCATATAGCAATCTGGCTTATTTAGGGATAGCACATCCTTCACTCTTCCTTTTCCCTGGTCTGAAACCTCACTAGAAGTTTCAAACATTAAGAGCTGATTTGGTGGCTGTGGAGAGAAAAGTTCAGTTAGTAGCTATGACACAAGGGATCTGCAAAGGAAGAGAAGAATGTAGATTAGGGTGAGAATGAATAAACAGAAAAGAACAAATCTAAGCACTGTTCCTCACACTCTGTTAAACCTGTCTCCCATTCCTGGGAATAGGTCCATCCAATAAAATGTTTTAGCTTCATTTATTTGATGAAGAATGTTTATCTTGTCTTTTAAAAGGTGTAGATGAGACTCTGTCCAGAATGATTATATAGAAGCAGCATTTTTCTCCAGTGATTGCACAGGCTCCTCTATCTTGGGCTGTCAGTGTCTCTAGGACACAACAGTTCTGAAGTACAACAGTAAACTATCAACTTCTGATTGGAGTGTTTATAATGTTTGCATAGTAACGTTGAACTTTTTTTTTTTTTTTTTGATTTTTCTATTTTTAGTAGAGATGGGGTCTCGCTCTTGCTTAGGCTAGTCTTGAACTCCTGAACTCAAGCAATCCTCCTGCCTCTGCCTCCCAGAGTGCTAGGATTACTGGTGTGAGCCACCGCGCCCAGCTGATGACAAGAACTTTTGTTCTATTATTTAGAAAAGATTTAGAACTTCCTTTTCAATCTCATAAACTCTACTGCCTGGGGAAAAAAATCTCTCAACATTGAATAAACTTAGAATTGTGATGTACAAGTAGATTTTCAACGTTCTGTCTAGTACATTTGTGCAGTACTAAGAATTGTGATGTACAAGTGGGTTTTCAATATTATGTCTAGTACATTTGTGTGGTACTTACTTATGAATGAATGCTAATTTTCAGGCTTTAAGGGAAGTAAATGCCTCTGAGGGCCCCCTGGAGTGGTAGTGGGAGGAGGGCATGTGGTGTTTTGGCAATAGCAGTAAAATTAGGACTCCAGCTACTAGAGGGATGGACAAACTGACTCAAGGCATTTTGGAGTGAGCTTTTGAGTGCCCTGAGGTATTTTTATGCCTTTAAGCAAGTAACAGTTATTTGCCCTAACTGAAGTTTAGATCTAGGGGCTTTATTTAGCCAAGCTTTTAGGAGAATGGGAGATTCTATAAGGACACCTTGTTTAGTTTGGCCACAAAGCAGAGGGTGGAGCCTTGGGTGAAGGCTGTAGAATCCACATGGACTTTAAGGATTTGAGAGAATATTCGAGGGACTCACAGTATCCCTGAGGTATGGACTGTGTTAATGTCTCCCTCTAAATATAAACGCAAAGAGAAACTGTGAGTCAAGGTGCAAAGACATTGAAAAGAAAGCTGAGCAGAGGCCAGTTACTGTCAACCAGGCTGCATCAGGAGGAACTGAGGTAAGGATAGTAGCCAGATTGGGGATGACAAGGCGGCTGAGAATTACAAAGGAGTTTATGGCTCGTAGAGCCTGCACAAATGGATAGACTTGATTTCTATCTGAGTCAAATTTCTCTTCCTTTTTCACTGGTAAGATTGGGGCCTAAAATAAGTATACTCTGCTGCAAAAGGGGGTCTGTTACAGGTTTGTTTCCTCATGCTGCATCACCAGAGGGGTACTGAGCTACTGATGGGCAGGGTTTGTTCCTTTTCCATGCAGTATGTACAGGTTCTGCGCTCAGTAGCAGTCCAGTCTCATTTGGCTGTGAAGCCTGGAGACAAGTTGGGATATCTTTTAAGATTGCCTCTTCTTTAGAGGAATGCAAACCAAGATGGGTTTCCATGAAAGAGAGAATAGGAAATTTAGAGTTTGGTCTGAAGGCAGAGAAATAAAAGTGCCTTTCTTATTATATTGCATGGTGGCGTTAAACTTACATAATAAATCTCTACCTAAAAGGTCTGCTCTGAGGAGTCAAAAACTAAAAAGGCACTGTGGGTGTTAAGAGGGCCTAATGATATTGGGGCGGCCTGAGATATGGGCAGTGAAATAGGTTGCCCAGAGAGTCCAACAACTTAAGTAGAATCAGAGGTAACAGGTAAAGGTAACTCCTGAGTGAATAGTATAGAGACTTGCATCAGTGATAATTAAAAAATTGGGTTCCCAATCCTCTACTTTAAGCTTTATATTGGAGTCTGGGATTTGACTGAGGATTGGCTGACCCTGTCAGTCAATGGGGTAAAAGAAGCCTTCTGAGGGTGCTGGGTTTTAGGGAGAGTTTCTTCCTTTTTTTTTTATAAAAAGTATAAGACAGCAGGTTTTCCAATGCCCTGGCTTTTTGCAATATCTGCAAATTTCAAAGGCAAACTAGAAAAGCCTTGTGGCTAAACAAAGCTGGGAGAGGACTTTGAGTCATTCTTAGAAGCCTGCCTTTGTTTTTCTATAACGATTCAAGCTTCAAGGCAAGGATTGTTGATTTCATTTCCATTTTCTTCTGATTTTCTTGTAAGCCATTTTCAAAAAATTGTGTAGCTGCTTCTATTATAACACTTAGAGACTGACCAGCCCAACCAATTATACTATTTTGGATTCTCCTTTTTATATCAGGAAGATTTCCATCCAGAGCAGAGATGAGAAGATTTCTATGCTCTGCAGTTTCAGGATATAATGCAATATGCCTTTAAAAAACTTGTATCAGTTTCTCGACAAATGCCTTGGGGTGCTCTTCCCCTTTCTGGATACACAATGCAATGTTAGACCAATTCGCCTTAGGAGGGAAAGCTCAATATTGCTCCTTGTATTAGGCCCTGAATAGCAGCATCCATCTGAGCTATCTCCTCATCGTTTGCAGGAGGGCCACTGAGGGGCTCCAGCCATCTGTCCCCTCTGTGGCAGAGGTTTTCCCCCAGAGGATGTCTGGCCTGTCTAGTAACTGCAGTTTAATCACGAAAGGGAAATATACCCCTTAGTAGCCAGTTAAGGTCCCTATGAGTGAGGTTGTGGATGGCTGCTAATCTCTCCAAATCTTCTCTAAGCTTGGTAGGATCTTCTGAAAGTGGGGGCTCAAGGGCTTTATGATTTAAAAGCTCTGCTGCTGTCCAGGGCACATGAATTGGTTGAGCAGGGAGTCCAAGAAACATCGCAGGGGGCATCGCCTAGGGAGGTCAGGAGTTGACAAGGTCTGATTACAGAGCCTGGGGAAGTAGGAGAGGTAGTAAGGCACTGCCTAGCCAGCCTTGCTGTGGTTCCTGGAGGCTGTGTCAGATCTATTAGGCTTTCTGGCTGTCAGCTTTTACACAAATGACCTGTATGCCTGGGGCGTTAAGATCAGGCTGGAGGGCTTTTTGTAAATCATCCAGAGAAAGGGAGGTTAAAGCAGGCGGCTGGATGTCTAAGGGGTTTTCTGAAAAGGGTGGAGGAGTCAAGAGATTTTGTTGAGGGGACAGAGGAGGAGGGAGAAGCTGAGGGGCTGGGGCTGGTTTTGAGGAGGGGGTGTTTAAACCAGGGGCCCACAGAGCCAATAGATATTCTGGTGGGGCGAGGACAGGGAGTTGGGGATAGAGTGGAATATAAGTGAATCAAGCGGAGGATTTATAGTGGGAGCGGATTTTAACTTTTGCTCTAGATCTGCTTTTTGTTCTTTAATTTTGTTAAGGGAATTTTTTAAGGCTGGCTGTAATACTTTTCTTAGTTCTTCATTCTATTTGATCTTCCCATAAATATCAACAGGCCAATTGTTTAGAATGAGAACTCTGTAAACTTTCTTTCAAATAAAGAAGTCTTTTAATTGAAAAGATCCATCTTCTGGCTATTGACAATTAGGATCTTCCTTGCTGTATGTATTTCTTTTTTTTTTTTTTATAATAAGCAAACCTTCTCTGCATGTATGTATTTCAATAGCGATCTAATCCAATAAACCTTTTTATGGAAAGGCCAGGAGATAACTTTCCAGGCTTTAATAAATCTTTACCAGGCACACAAGGTGCGTTCCTGGAATACGAGTGCAGAAAATGAAGCCTTCATGATCCAAAAAATTCACTCTCAGAAATAGACTAAGAAAGTAGAGATTTTTTGTTGCCATAGGCAGTTAATATGAAGTGTTTGTATAAACATTGTCTCCAGTCTCTCACAATATGTGAGACAGCTTCAGTCACCAACCTGCTCATCTGAGACAGCAGGCAGGCAGTCCTGGGGTGGGAGTTCTCCCAGCACAAATCCAGGCAACAAGGTTAAAAGAGGAAAAGCCCTTTATGAATTGGCCTCTTAGGACAAAACTCTCTGAGAGCTTGACACATATGGACAAAGAGGGTGCTGCTTAATATCTTACATGTCTTGAGTCCCCAGTCATTTCAGACTAGCTGCCTGACAAATAACTGACACTTTGTGCCCTTTTGGGTGACAGAAACCAGGGAGGGTGTCCACGTTGGTGACAAAGCAAGATGAGAGGGGAGCCTCCTCTATTTATTTTTTGTTCAGGGCTCCACAGTTTGTCTAGGTAGATGCTGGAACTGATGAGAACTATAAACTTGCCAGTCTGTGGAGGCGGTTCGAACAGCATACTTACACGGACTTATGCCTTGATCTTTTAACCTGTGGTTCCTGTCCTTATGACAAACGACACAAAAAGACAAAGGAAGACAAAGACTATCTTTGAGATCGAAAGGATCAAATAGAAATCTAATGTACTCATAAAACAACAAAAATTGCCTTTTATCCAAGGAACTAGTTCTCAAATGTTTTCTCTTGTCATACCCAATTTAGAGAGGAAAGGGTCTTACCTCTCTTGCCCCCACAGCAAAGATCCAGGAATCTGATGGTGAGAAATCTTACCTCTGCAGCCTTTGGTCAGAGGTCCAGGATCATGGTGGTAAAGACCCCATGCTGGCTGCCAGTTTCTGTAGGGGAGCCAGAGGTCACCTCCAACACCCATCTTAGCTCATAATGGGCTCTTCAGCTGGATCTGGAAACCAGATGGACACCAGGCAGACTAACAAGAGAACGGCATACACGTTTATTAGTTTTACATGTACATAGGGATCTTTGCAAGAGAGTCACGTCTGAAGAAGTGGCCAAAGCAAGATGCTTTTATATTTTTTAGGCAAAGAGCACAAATTTAAGAAGAAATGACAGGACAAAGAAAATCTGCCTCAGGGCAGTAAATTTTCTAGGAGAGTCATGGGAGAAACTAGGAGATATATGGGGGTAGGTGTAAAACAGGGGAAAGATAAGGGTTACTGCCTTAACTATGTATATTCAGGTCTGCTGCAGCCTCCAATTCCAGACTCTTTGGTGATAAGGGTTACCCCCTCTTCCTGGTGTGAAGAGAGTACCCCTCCCAGAGGAATCTTTATTGCTTGCTGCATGCTCACCCTTTCTGAACCTACAAGTTCTCCAATATTTTTAACTTGAAATAATCAATGTAACAATCTGGCTTATTTGAGGATGGCACGTTCCTTCACTCCTTCATACATATATATATTTACAAATAATTTACATGCATATTTACATATATATTTACTATACCTTGGGCTTTCACTTGAGAATTTGTAGTTGTAAGGTTAAGTGAGAAACAGGTTATTTTTTAGGGGAAAGTGAGAGCTGGACTAGAGGATGCATAGATGTTGTGTTGTTTTGAATGCTGAGAATGATTGAACTAGATGAGTAAATTCATAGAGAAGGATGAATTGTTTTCTCGAAGTCCACCAAACTGGTTAGGTATATTCATGGTACTAGGGTTCAGCTCCATGAACATCCTTGTTTTATTTTCCTTGCCTTGCAGTAAAGCTCCTCTCAGTTTCCACTTAATTCTTTGCCTTGCTCAGTATGTCCCACCATACTTGCCTCCTTTTTGTTTCACACAATCTAAATCCCTTTCTTATTTGTGACCATTCCCTTAGCTTGGGATGCTTTTCCTTCAGCTCTTTCCTTCACCTGTCCTCATGATGAGGGCTGACCCTTATCATGCACTAACTATGTCTAAGGAGATATCAGCGGCCTGGAGTGTGAATCACAGTTCTGCCTTAGTTTTCTGACTTGGCCAGGCACTTTCCAACTTCTCTGGAATGAGTGCTCTGGCCTCATTTTCTTCATGAGTGAAACAAGATGAGATTCTATATCAGTGGTACTTTCTCAGCTGGGGTTGAGAAATAGTAAATAGTTCCCCCCACCAACTCGCCTTGCATTTAACAGTGTAAGTGGATACACTTTTGTCACAGCTGTGTGTGTGTGTGTGTGTGTGTTGAGAAACCGTCATCCAATGTGTAGAGACCAGGGGTGCTGCTATATATTGACAATGCACAGGACAGACCCCCACAAAAGAGTTATTTGGTCTAAAATGTCAATAATGTAGGCGTTGAAAGTCCTTGATCTAGATCTATGGCCTGTTTCTGTTTTATGATTTAAAATGTAAATATTTAAATTACTTATTTCTCATTGTATTATTTAGGTATTATTAAATATGTTCTCTAAATATTGTTTTTCAGTAATATTTGGTGAAGATGTTGCCTTTGGTGGAGTCTTTAGATGCACTGTTGGTTTGCGAGACAAATATGGTAAGTTAATACCTGTGTGGACTATATTCCTATAGAACTTTTACTTCAAGATCCTGAAAATACAGAATATGTATGTTACGTTGTTTGCCATATCCTCATTGTATGGATGTGCCTTTTCACTTCCATAGCTACCTGCAGAATCCTTTGGCTTAGGTTTCTCCAAATGTGTTCTAACTCTAGCATTCCTCTGATCTAGTTCATATTACACATATTATAGTTTCCAGAATAATCTTCATTAAATGTATTTGTTTATCATGTCATTCTTCTGTCCAAGAACCTTTGGTGTCTTATCGCTGCTTGCCTTAGCCAGTTTCAATTCCATTGCCTCTGGATCAAGATTCTGCTTGTTGGCCAGGCGCGGTGGCTCACGCCTGTAATCCTAGCACTTTGGGAGGCCGAGGTGGGCGGATTGCTCAAGGTCAGGAGTTCGAAACCAGCCGAGCCAAGACCCTGTCTCTACCAAAAATAGAAAGAAATTAATTGACCAACTAAAAATATATATACAAAAAAAAAATTAGCCGGGCATGGTGGCGCATGCCTGTAGTCCCAGCTACTCGGGAGGCTGAGGCAGAAGGATCGCTGAGCCCCGGAGATTGAGGTTGCTGTGAGCCAGGGTGACGCCACGGCACTCACTCTAGCCTGGGCAACAAAGTGAGACTCTGTCTCAAAAAAAAAAAAAAAAAAAGATTCTGCTTGTTGCTGTCTGTATATGGCTTTCATCTTGTGGGGGTGGGGGAGAGAGAGAGAGAGAGATTTATTTTTTAAGGAATTGGCTCATGCAGTGCGGGGGTTGGCAAGTCCATAGGGCAAACTGCAGGCTCTCTGGCTGGTGGAAACCCAGGCAGGTTTTCTATGTTTTAGTCTTGAGGCTGAATTCCTTTTTGCTTGGAAAGCTCAATCTTTTCTCTGAAGGCCTTAAATAGATTGGATGAGGCCCACTCTTTTAAAGGGTAATCTGCTTTACTCAAAATTTACTGATTTAAATGTTAATCACATCTAAAAAATGCCTTCACAGCAGTATCTAGACTTGTGTTTGGCTAAATAACTAGGGACCATAGTCTGGCCAAGTAGACATGTAATGAACCGTTATGCTACCCTTCCTATCTGTTTTATCCCAGCTGATCTGTCTTTTGCCTGGCATGCCTAGCACTTCTACCTGTTGGTTTTACTAATTTTATTTGACACAATTAGACTCAGAACCATCAGAATGTGTTTGGCTCATCTTGAATTCCCACTCCCTTGACTTACTGTGTAAGAGATGAATTTTGACCTCTTACTGATAGGGATACCTTTGATGTGCTTTTGACTTTTATTTCTTCTCTCAGTCTTATCTAATTTAGAAGTCAGCGGAGCAGTTATGTCAGGGTTAGGAGGAGTTGGCATCTCCCCTTCTTCTTACCTTTGCCATTGCCCTTTAATGCTTATATGTTTGTACAGGGTGAGGAGGTCTTTAAATTTTTTTTTTTTTTTTTTTTTTTTGACGACAGAGTCTCACTCAGTTTGCCCAGGCTAGAGTGAGGCCGTGGGCGTCAGCCTAGCTCACAGCAACCTCAAACTCCTGGGGCTCAAGTGGACTCCTGTCTCAGCCTCCCGAGTAAGCTGGGACTACAGCATGCACCACATGCCCGGCTATTTTTGTATATATACTTTTAGTTGGTCAATTAATTTCTTTCTATTTTTAGTAGAGACGGGTCTCGCTCGGCTGGTTTCGAACTCCCGACCTCGAGCAATCCGCCCGCCTCGGCCTCCCAGAGTGCTAGATTACAGGCGTGAGCCACCGCGCCCGGCCCAAGATGTTTTTTTAATTGTCTCTTTTCCTGCTCTACTATCTCTGAGGTTATTAATATATTATACTTGAATTCAAGAAACCATAGCATGTTGCTTCTCACTTATTAGGGAAACTTCAGCTCATTCTTTTATCTTCCCTTTATAGCAGCTTGAGTTTCTCAGTCTTAGTCCCTGTGCTTTCTCCTAGCCGTCTATTTCTAATATGTGCTGAGAGTTTGAGATAATTGGGCAAACTATTATCTTTATTCTCTTTCAGACTCCTACAGACTTTTGTATCTTCTTTTTTTTTTTGAGACAGAGTCTTGCTTTGTTGTCCAGGCTAGACTGAGTGCTGTGGCGTCAGCCTAGCTCACAGCAACTCAAACTCCTGGCTCAAGGATCCTCCTGCCTCAGCCTCCGGAGTAGCTGGGACTACAGGCATGCACCACTATGGCGCTCATTTTTCTAGTATTATATTAGTTGGCCAATTAATTTCTTCTATTTATAGTAGAGATGGGGTCTCGCACTTGCTCAGGCTGGTTTCAAACTCCTGACCTTGAGCAATCGCCCGCTCGGCCTCCCAGAGTGCTAGGATTATAGGCGTGAGCCACCGCACCTGGCCAAACTTTTGTATCTTTAAAAAAATGTTAAAATTCTTTACACATTTGATTTTAAAAGTAATGCATATACACCGTAGAAAGTTTGGAAAGGACAGAAAAGCATAAAGAAAAGAAAACTTGCTCATATTTCTAGAGATTGCCGCTGTACAAACCTCAGTATATATACTTCTAGAGTGTATTTGAATATGTTTGTATATATTAACTAATATTTCAAACATAGAATTATACTTTGTAACTTAACCTTTTCTATATGTGGTGCAGCTATGCCGCTGAGCACTTTTTAGCCTTCACTGGTCTGTCTTGCCTGACTCAGCGTGGTAGCATGCTGTGTGCTCATTTAAATTGGTGAGTCCTCTTTGGCTATCTGCCCAGGTTCTCATCCATGGCATTACTGTACCCATTCTGTCTGGGGCATTTTGTTCATGCTGCCTGCTGTTCACACGCTAGTGACTTCTGAATTTCTAGCTCTAGTTAAGACCTCTGTCCTGAGCTTCAGATTGAGACATTCAGTATTCTACTGCACTCTTCACCTTGATGTTCCAAAGCCACTTCAAACTCAGAATTTCCAAAGCTAAATTCATTATAGCTACCCAGCAAATCCATGACTCCTGTTGCATTTCCTATTTTATGAATATATCACCATCTATTCAGTTACCTAAGCCAGAAAGCTGGGGAGATCCTAGTGTCTTTCTTTTTCATTATTCCCCACATTCAGCCAAGTCCTACAATTTTATCTTCATAGTTTATTTATGACCTGGCCCTTCCTTTCCATTCCTACTGCCCTGGTACTTCAGATATTTTATTTTCTCTGCCTGGAGAGTTTCATTTCTTTTCTTAGTAATCACCCTTCCTTTAGTCTTCTCCTCCCTCCAATCTATTCTCTATGTTGTTGCCAGTGGGATCATTCTAAAATGCACATTTCTTAGCAGAATATACAGAAGATTTTGTGATCTACTTAAGTAGCTACCTGACCCCATTCCCTTTATTTTTTTGCTAATGTTGTATTACTGTTTCCCCTAAGCCCTCTGCTCTTTTCCGCCTCTCTTCCT